ACGTTTGTGGAAATATTTTTTTAAATAGTTTTAAAAATATTTAATAAAAATATTTGTTAAAAATAGTTTAAAAAAATACTTTTAAAACTTATTGGATTCATAGTTTGTAGCTTTGTCTGGATTTTTCGTTTGTGTTATAGTAAAAACCYAACAGTACTACTATTTTCATGAACACAGCTGTATACACATGGTATATATGTATGTATATACTAATCTARATATATCTGTCATACAAGTATATGTATAATATATGCAGTGATATGCTTCTTTTGGTGCGCATTCATTTTACTATGCTTTTAAATTTGTTGTTGTTATTTTTTTATGGGTTTTGTATTTTGTATTTATTTAACAATAATGGAAGACTTTTTGCAATTCTCCTAATTTAATCGCTTTTAAATGTTCATTACTTACTTGCTACCTGACATGCGCMATTGCCTTTCCGTTTTGGTATTTGTATACACGCATCAATTTTCTTRGACATAACAAATTGAAAATTACATATTTTACAGTTATATAACGYATAATAACCAGATATGTACAGCGTTTTTTCTCCAGCGAATCATTTTACTTTATGTTTCGTCAACTTTTGTAAGGCTGCATGTTGAAAAGAACCGAATAAACTTTCACGAATTCACTAAGCCAACGAGCGCATTGTAAGCACGTAAAATTTTCCGTCCAAATTACGCTTACTCCATAGAACCGTATTGCACTTTCTTGATTTTGAAGTAGCTGCATGTATGAAATAAATATAAATTCTTCTCTCTCTTCTGTTACTACTCTTCCGCTACTTACCGCCAACCACCGTAGCCGGATATTGTTATTAGTACGGCTATCGCCAAGGCAGTGCCCACGGCTAGTGGTGCCGTCTCATCGCGGTATGAGCCCGTAGCGCTGCAATGGAAGGGCGGGCCCCACTTGCCGCTTTCCTTAAACATGAAGCTTTGCATGTGCAGATCGCGCAGATAGAGGCGTGCAATGTGCCCCGACATGTCACCGGAATCTATGGGTGCATACAAGACGACACTTTGCTCCTTGTCACAAACGTACGATTTGCCGACGGGCGTTGGGAAGTACATTGGCGTGTGTGCCGGCGAAGTAAGTTTCACATCCAAATTTGGGCGATCGGGATGTTCGAATAGCGAATTCGATGAGGAATAAGTGAGTTCGAATTGATTTATGTACCAGCCTTCACCACCAGATGACTATTGAAAGAGGGGTTTTTAAAATATAACAGTGGTTATGAATTTAATTTCGAAACGACAATAGAATAGGTATGTAAATGTGTATATAAAAATACAACTATTCAAAGTTGAACTTTGCTGAGGGCGAAAAATTAGCTAGACATCCTACGATTTACTCTTAATCAGAAGAAYCTTGCGGCTTCACAGCTGCTAGTAGTTGACTAATGCTTGTTTAAAAGCTAAAGATATTCGTCACTTTTCGAAAATTAGCATATACTCTGCAMATAAAACATAATAAACACTAGTTTATGACATGAGGGCGTTTCATGTTTTTCCGACGGCGGATTTAGAAACCGGTTTGGACCCGGAAATTTTACAACTCACGTCACGTCAACCTCCGACGGAACTCTATTAACGTCAAGGAATGAGAAGCTCAASAGATTCAGTGAAGTGTTGTAGAAATACTTAGCTCTTCCCACATTRAAACGTTCGATAACGTTGTATCACCGCCAAGTCAGGTGTGCCCATCAAATAGAATAAGCTCAACWCCAACATTCCTCAGGGAAAGAGCAAGCCTTCAGGATACAATAGAATCCGGGCTGAAATTTTGAAAGTGTGCCCAGAACACACGGCGAAACAGCTGCTTATAATTTTCACCTTAATTTGCTTAGAAGAGAGATCCTTGAGAACTGACAGCAGGCTACACAGTTCGTTCAACCAACTAAAGACGACAGTTCTCAATTCAAAAACTAACGTAGAATARTGCTTCTCTCCTTTACGTCCAAGGTACTGTTTCGTGTACTTTTAAATCGTAAGACTTGACCAAATTTCGGCTGAATCGTTCGTGCGTTGACCAATTTGACACTCTACATATCATAGTTGAGTTAAAAAACGAATGACAGTCGGATGATATTTACTTCTTCTTTATTGGCGTAGACACCATTTACGCAGTTTTCGTCGAGTTCACAACAGCGCGGCAGTCGTTCTTCTTTTCACTATTTGGCGAGAGAGAATGAGAGATTCCAAGTATAGCTGGGTTCTTCTCCAGCAGGTCAACGGAGTGGCGGTCCTCCTCTTTCTCTGATCCCCCCGTTGAGTATTGCATCGAATACTTTCAGAGCTGGAAAGTTTTCATCCATACGAACGACATGAACTAGCCAGCGTACRTGAATATATATTATATCTAGTAGAGCTCATCGTTCCATTGACTTTGGTATTCGACGTTGCCAATGCGCAAAATACCATAAATCTTCCGCAGAATCTTTCTCTCGAAAACTCGTAACGCCGACACATCAGATGTTGTCATCGTCCATGCCTCTGCACCATATAGCAGGACGGGTATAATGAGTGACTTATTATTCGTCGAGAAAAGACTATACTTCTCAATTATCTACTTAGTTGGAGATACCATCTGTTGCTTAATGGTGTTAATGCTGGTTCCAAAATTAACGAAATTATCTACGAGTTCGAAGTTATGATTGTCAACAGTGACAAGTCGGGAGTCCAACGACTGTTTGTTAACAGGAGATATTTCGTCTTGTCCTCGTCCACTAACAGACTCATTTGCTTCACTTCCTTGTCCAACCCGGAGCAAACAGAACTAACGGCTATGAAAAATTCAATCAGAAACCCTTCACCAACTACATAAATTTTAGCAAATGGCGATGCATAAGTCACGCACTGTGAAAAGATGCTACAAAAACTTGGCAACAAGCTGTGGATTGGAACGCGCAAGAAAGTTTAAGCTGGAGTTGCTTCATTGACACTCTAAGCACCAGTGGAAGATACAGTAAATGATGTTGATGAACTCAATACGACTTATAGAGTTCATGTATGGCGCTCAAAACTATGAAGTTATGGTACGTCGACTTTAAAAACTACCCGAACTACCACCTTAAGCTTATTTTACTAACCTATTTTTAACATAATTTTGTAATATCCATAATTCCCATATCAACTGCTTGCTAAGGCACACTCGTGCAAGTATACATACATACATATTTAGTAAGTAAAATAATTTTTTTAACTATTTGTTTAACCACTCACCTTGCGGAATGTCATTGTCAAGGCGAATCCTTTGAAATCTAATCTCAATATTTCCATATTGGATTCCACACACTCGCCAGTGAGCTTCGGATCATCGGGTAGATAGAGATCCGCCTCAACATCTTCGTTCAACTTATTGCGATATTTAATACTGATGAGGCCATCCACACTAACCAAAATGCAGGTGATGCCATTTGTGGCATTGAGACGATAAATCGAGGTTGTCGCATCATGATTCATTGAAGAAGACTACAAAAATATAAAATTGCAAGTTTGATGCTGTAGTAGCTACAATCTCAAACGTCTCAACTTCGCAACAATTAAAATTTGGTGACGAAACAGTTAAATACGCCCACCGCTTCGCCATTGCATACTTACCGACGCTGGCTTCGTCGTGTACTTGGTAACCCTGGGCGTTTTGGTGGTAAAAGCGCCTAGCTGCAAGCCATCACAAAACGGAACTACAATTTTTAGAGAATAATACGCATTAATAATCAAATAAAGCAAGTGCTAGTGACATTATTCAATAAATGTCTGGAGTAATAATATTTTATATGCCATATTAATTACACGAAACCAAATTCAATTATGCTGCCTGTGGCCTCGAGCCATACGCTTATCGATTTTCTTCTTATGTTGTACTCAATAGCAGTACTTACCTAAAACAAATAGCAGAAGACAGGCAATTTGTGGCCCGTTTTGGCTTGCCTTAAGCAACATGATTCTGACTGCTGTGTAACTACTTTCCTTGCCGATTTTTAAGTAAAATTCACAAAGTATTATTATTAATTGCAATTTTCAATGTTTTTCGATTTTTCGAACTGCCGCTTTTCCGCCGTAGCACGTACCACCAACCGAGTGTTAAACTAACTTGCGAGTGAAAGTTTGCATAAATGCTTTGCAATCACTTTCGATTACTTGTCCTGTTGCCGTTGCGATGCGCAATGTTGACTGCCAATAGTAGTCGGCTCTAGAGACAGTGTCCTGTGCAGGAATTCGTACATTCCTGTATATAGATTTTTTGTTGTTTGTGTGTATGTTTGCGAGCGCTCATGTAGATACTTTTGAGGAGTTGTGAGTTCGTTAATACATACTTACTCACTGCAAATAATTAACTTTGGTTATCTCTGAGAACTTGGAGGTGGGAATGAAGTTGCAGGAGAAAAGCTGCCATTTCGCTCACTGTAAACAAAGCTATGAGCATAAAAATGAATTCGGCGCATGCGCAAAGGATGTTTTTGTCTCACGCTCAGCTTTAGAACGCACGCTAGTTCATTCAAAATTTATGAAATGAAATGCATTTGGTATCGTTGATATTTATGGTAAAAAACTACATATGCAAGTATATTAATACACACATCAGAGAACCAAATTRAAACTCTCGAAATAAATATGCAGCAATCGACACCCTTTAATTTTTGTATCGTTGCTTTTGGCCCCTTTAAAAATAATGAAAAATACGCAACATAGATGGCGCTGTTGTAGCTAGCCATGCCTGGCACAACAGCAATTCCTGAGCAGAGAACGTGCAGGGAACGTATATCATAGAATCATAGAATAAACGTAAATAATAGAATCACAGAATGATATACGGTCTCTGCTTTCCTTTACAGGTGCATTTTTKGTTGGTGGGTGCAAAAGCCGTTAAAGGAGAGGWGCAGCGAGCTTCTTCACKGATGAGTTAARGCTTRRGGGGAACGTTGGGGAAGGAATTTACTGTYAGRAGCYCTCTATCAACTCCAGTTTCAGACTTCCTGACTATTGCAGTGTCTTCCGAGTTGTAGTCATTATAATAACTGTAGATTTACTGCTCCGAAGTGCAGCCTCCTTCAAAGAAGTGACCATCCAYACAGACAGCAGAGCGGTGCTACTAGCTTTGGACTTATTTACAGAACGTTCAAGACTGTAAACTGTTAAAAGAATGAGGCATATTAGCACTGCTGCTGGTAGAATTAGAGTGGATCGGTGCTCCCGTATCCTCTTGTTCTACTATTAGATAGCTGGGCTTCGCATAAGCTTGGCCAGCGCTGGGACACTATTGGTACATGCGCTGTAATGCATGCGCTAACCTTCATATATTCACGATCTCAGAAAAAAATTARGTTTTTAGGATTTTCCTCGAAGTAAAATCTTGCCTGAATTTTTGTTGACTTCTTAGCTGAATTTATTGACTTATTACTTAACTTCATAGCCGAATTTTGTTTYTTTACTTATTTGTATGTCTACAAAGTTAAAAGGCATTCGATCATTTTGATAAAATTATTTTTTAGCATGACTGTTATTTAATAGAATCCACTCGATCGGACATTCATCTTATATTTCCTTATGGTGCATAGATTGGTAGAATTAAATACGCACATATGTAYATATAGATAATATGCATTTGTAGTTTATTTTTCGTAATGATAATAAAATCGTATTAATTCCATAATAGATATAAGTATATTAATTACGCGTATAGATACTCCGTGAATTTGCTTTAATATTGCTTTATTCAGTGTTACAATTGACGCTGTGGTTGTTTTGTTTTTTAAGAGCGAACCTCGCAGATATTACAAATTTCGGTKCCACAGTATAAAAACGGTAGACCATTTCTTAAGTAAATAAAATGAAATTATTATAAGAAAAGTTTGAAATAGTGAAAAACTCGTAAACATTGCAGATTAACGAGCTTACACCGTTGTGTGTTTTTCATAAAAAATTGGAAGGAAGTAAGGTTCATAAGGCAGTAATTCACAAAGGGTTGGAAGGAAGAAAAGCAGGTGGAAAATGTGAAATTCATAGAGAATTAGTAGGAAGGCAAAATGGAAGATGTACGATGCAAAATTTTACTTGAATTGGGTTCTCGTAGTTCATAAAGGGTTGGTAAGAAGGAAGGAAAGTGGAAAGGTTTACGTAAATTGAGCTCTGCTTACTTAAAAACTTTAGTGTAAGTTCTTGTGTCTGTGCTGTAGTATACTATAAAGTTATTTTAAAGTAAAAAAGGTGAACATTATAAAAAATTCTATACATGAGAAAATAAAGTAGGAATGCTTCATAATACTATTTGTTAAAAGTGTTTTTATTTAATGAAATATTATATATACTCGTATAAATTACAAACAATAAGTTTAAGTGACTAACTAATAAAAGCACTGACTTTGGGCATCACATTTAATGTAATGTAGTTATCATAAAATTATCAAAAATAAACAAAAAAGTAATACAAAACAAGAAAAAGTGTTAGCTTCGGCTGCACCGATGCTATAATACCCTGCACAGTTGCATTTTTTATGGTTAAATCTTGTGAAATAAAAAAGTTGTTCATACAAGAACTTGATTTTGATCGATCGGTTTGTATGGCAGCTATATGCTATAGTAGGCCGATCCGAAAAAATTCTTTGGAATACGTAGCGCTGTATTTAAAAATAATRTATGTTAAATTTTGTGAAGCTGACTTGTCAAATAAAAAAGTTGTCCATATATGGTTCTGATTTTGATCATTAAGTTTGTATGGCAGCTTAATCTTTAGAGATTGTAACTTTATCTTTAGAAATAATCTTCGTCAAATTTCGTGAAGAAATGTCGTCTAATAAAAAAATTTTCCATAMAAGAAGAAGTATTTGATCATTCAGTTTGTATGGCAGCTATAAGCTATAGTTATACAAATTGAACACTTTCTTTAGAAATTATAGCGCTGCCATTGAAAATAATATATATCAATTTTGGTGAAGATATCTCGTYAAATGAAAARRTTGTSMATACATGGATATGATTTCGATCATTCAGTTTGTATKGCAGCTATATTATATAATTGTCCGATATCATTGATTCCGACAAATAAGTAGCATGTTGATGAGAAAAACGCGTTTGTAAAGTTTCAGTTCGATATTTCAAAAACTTTGTAACTAGTTCGTTTATTTTCGGACTGACGGTAGGACATGGAAACATCGACTCAGCTTATTTCATCATTTATATTCTGGTCTACTATATACCATAGTTAATAGCGTCTCTGCAATTTCCTGCTGTAACTTCGCATTATAAATTTTTGRGGGCCTCTGATGTTTCCCCTTTGTAACTAACAGTTGGTATGACATACTTAATATACACTGTTCAGGGCATACAAGTATAAACATAGCTGATGAATACATACATATGGTACAGTAATATATCGGTAATTTTTTATTCGAAAGTAAGCTGTTAGTACAGTTTATATTATATAATATTTCATTTTATATTATACATAAGTAATTTTATATTATACATATTTAATTTTATATTTTATATATATTTCAAATCTACAATAAACTAAATATTTTCTTTTTTATTAATTAAACTGTTCGCATTTTCGCTCTCGACTCCTAAAATTTTTCTYCGCAAATAACAGACATACCGTCAGCCGAAATGCAAAACTACGTATCATCAAAAAAATTGAGTTTTTATTGCGTACGATTCACTACATCACATAAAATATATGTATCATAAAGTTTTAAGGTGCCATTGTCAGATGTAACCAATATATATAACCTATATATAACCAATATATWACCTTTTTGTAACCAAAACTAAAATTTTTTTCCAATTTATGGGTTYTATTATATCGTTTTTCTTTCGCTTGCAAACTTATRAAAAGTGRTTTTACGTTATTTTGCATTTTAGCTGTCATATAAAACCAATATATAACCTATGCATAACCATTTTATAACCAATACTCAAATTTTGTAGCAWTTTTTGTTGTTCTTTGAAAAACGATTTTTCGCTGTTTTGTATTTTAGCTGTCAGATATAACCGATATATAACCTATATATAACCGTTTTATAACCGTTATATAACCGATCCTCAAATTTTTTTTTCAATTTGTGTGATTCCATTATATCGTATTTTTTTCGCTTGTAAACTTATGAAAGTGATGTTACGTTATTTTGCATTTTCGTTGACGATACGCTTCTTAATTTTTTTTTTTTTTTGTTTTCTCAATATTCATAAGTAATTGTAATTCTATAATTGCTGCTTGTTAATTGGTTAGGCGCGCTATTTACGTATAAATAGAGTGCCTTTTTATTGCATTTTTTATTTTTATTTTTTAATTGTTTTTGCTGGAATTTAAATAAAGTTTTACTTTGCTCGTGTTATAACGGTACTCTAAATAAGTTTAGGTAAATTTACTACGTTCCATACATAATCARTTGCAGCTAAGCTGCTATATATTAAAGTGGTAAGTGCTAACTGCTGGTTAAAAATATTGCAATTGCTTTTTGATTAATTTTCCCCCCTGAAGTCAAATTTCCGATTTTTATTTTTGAATTAAATTTAATTTGGTGAAACTTTGCATTTTATACGCTAATTGCATTTTTCGTTTAGGAATWTCATATTGCAGATATGGTTCAATATTCCCTGCAGTGCTTTAATTGGCTATCAATGCTTGCTTTGTTCGTATCCAAAAATTAGCCACGGATAAGCTTTAGCGCTATGCTTTTCATAAACGGTTTGCTATTATATATTTCAACTCTAATCTAAATGTTTGTACATGTCATCCAGTTGCGGCTTGAAATAGCTCTTCAATTGTGGCCGTTTCGCTTTGAAAGTCGGTGTTAGCAAGCCATTTTGTACCGAAAACGGATCCGGATGCAAATAAATGTCTTTCACCTATACAAAACAAAGGAAGTATTTTTATTAGTATTTTACACGCTACTGTGCTTGTCAACCCACTTGTTCAAACGATTTCAAGCCACTCTGTTTACCCCAATTGAGCATATCGCTCATAATTAGCTCCTTGACCTGATGATTATTGCAGAGCACAGAGAGTGTGCCCTTGACACGATTCTCGTTAGCCCACTGCTTGAGCACATCCACATCAGGCACAACGACGGCAATAATGCAGCTCTAAAGTAATGGAAATATGTGGAAATATATGAATATTAAGGACTACATAAAACATTAAACGCAATTTA